TGCTACAGAAGTTATTAATCTTTGTTTAAAAAATACAAGTCTTAGTTCATGTTTACATCAGAGTGCGCATGCGTCTTTCACGCAGCATACAGCGGTGTTGTGCATTTTGACCAGTTGATGGGAAAAGTATTCTTAAAATGCATTTAAAATTCGGAATAATTTGTAATATATAATTATTCACGGTATTTAGAAGTGCCCACGATAACAATACTGTGCATATTCATTACCGTGATATATCGCATAACTGAATACGGCACAAGTCTAATGCAGACTGTAGCTGTTGTAGCTATTTCTGCAGTCTATAATTCCAGGTTTAATTGGCACAGTCTGAAGCCCAAATCCGTAAATAACACAAGTTAGCATGTGTATCTCTTTAGCTTAATGTGTAGATCATATTCAGTCATTGTATATTGGCAGCAGATAGAAATTGTGCCTGTGTCCTTCAATATCTCCTGTTCCAATTTTTTGATGCTGTGATAAGATTCACCAAAAATAGATTAGTATATTGCTCTTTCATGATAGATAAGAATATGCACCTTCAGAATGAAAACGAAATAGATAAGTATAGAGGAGCAATTTGCATAAAGTCTGTTGAGATTTGGACAGCAGAAGAGAAGTGTTCTAGAACAGCACTCTTAATGCACCACAAAATTAAATTCAGAATTAAGTACACAATGCATTAGAGACAGATTTTAAACTCTTAAGACTCTTTCTGAGGAAGTTTAAATTAACAAGTAAAGCTGGTCTTAGTGCAGGGATTCTCAACCATATTTGGTCTGTGACCCATTTTTAAATGCCAAAATTCTTGAAACTCCACATCAAAGAATTACATTAGACACTTGATGATCTCACAGATATAATTCCTGACAAAAAAGGAGGTCTATGATACCTGGAGAAAGTTATGCATTGGCATTTACATTCATATCTGTGGTAACTAGAGCTGGGAGGCAAACAATATTGTATCAAGATTGCAATAAAATGTATGAATGAATGAATGAATTAAGGATTTTATATAGCGCTTTATTGTGTATTGCTGTGCACCCAAAGCGCCTTACAATCAAATGAGGGGATCTCTCCTCATCCACCACCAGTTTTTTTCTCAAATGAAACAGTGTAAAGCTGGTGAAGTGACTCTGAGAGCAGATCTGGAGATGAAGTTCATGTGTTCATGTTCTTATATATTAAGACAGCAGACACTAAAAACACTGTGAGTGATATGTTTATACCGAGGATAAGTTTTAAACATTTTTACTCAATATCGATTAATCACATAAATGTGATAGAGCCAATCAGTGCATGACACTAACAAGTCTGCACTCGCAGTGTTTTTACTGTTTGCTGTCTCAATATATAAGAACATGAACACATGAACTTCATCTCCAGAGCTGCTCTGAGAGTCACTTCACCAGCTTTACAACGTTTCATTTGAGAAAAAACTACCGTCAAATACACACTGAATATCAAAGATTTGCCAAAATAAAAGTTTGGTTTAACTTAAAGAAATGATGACAGAAACATATTACTAATGTATACAAAATTGTACTTCTCAAAGTAATAATAATAATAATAATAATTTTTAAGAAATATCATACAACTAAGATATTTTTCATTCATGTTTTAATTTATGCAGTTTTGCTGTGCAGCATCTTCACATTCTAAATAAATAAATAAATATTTTGTTAGAGCACACGGTTATGTTTGCATGGCCCTCAATGGATAAAGATGCTTTTCGTCTCCAGATTGTTTAGTTATAGCATATTGGACGAAGCAACAAAAATGTCTCCAATAGGATGACTGTCAGTATGTGATGATAGTAAAATGTGTCTGGTGATTGTGCCAATATGAAACTGATCAAGAGCTTAGTGGTCTGAGTGGCTTGAATGACTTCTGAAAAGATTTTGACAGAGAAATCAATGTAATGCACACGAGAGAGCGCCGAGCGCAGGTGAAAGTCCCTGTCAAAGGGACTCATGTGTGAAAAGTCATTTGTTCAGCCAGCCACACACACACTCTGAAGTCACTGCGGGCTCCAAAAATAAGTGATTCTGCATGACAGCACACTGAATAGCCATCCAAGCTTTTTAAGTTATCAATAAACACAACAGTGAATGCTTTTCCTGGATTTTGGCAGTGTTGTCTGACGTACACACTGATCCAGGCTCCAGAAGTGAGAGTTAGTGATCTAGTCTCCATCACAACAGCACACTATGCGCTCTTTCTTAGAAGTCCCATTTGCTCATAGTAAGCCGATGCGGTTTGACACTTATGCCTCCGGTTGTCAGGTTTATCATCCTCAGCCTGTCAGTGCTGCATAATGCTCATCATTCTGCGGCCTGCCTCTGCCGGGGACTGCGAGGGACAGCTTGCATCGCTTCAAACCTCATCCAGCACTGAACTGTGCCCCCTAATAAAGCCTAAATTGCCCACCGTGGAGCAGGAGAGTGGCTCCAGACATTCATTAGCTTAATGAAAACAGGCCACTCCACTGCAGCCGCCCAGTGAGCATCTTCACACTGTAGCTGAGGCAACCATCTGCTCCGAGCCACCCAGCCAGCTGCAGAGTATTCCTGTCATACACACCCCATCAGAGGGGATGCAAACGGCACACTTCCAGCTCACCCGCTCCGAGAGAGTTGGTCATGCTGCTTTGGCGCAGTGCTGCAGTGTTGCTAAATATACTGCCCTACCCACACCTCACCCTTTCACCTGAAACTGTTTGCATTTGCTTTGTGACTCTGGCCAAATTCGGTGACGGTTCTTCTGCGTTTCATCAGCTAGAGTTCCCTACAGCTGCATCTACAGCCTGACAGGGAAGCGCATGTGTTGAGGAGTTTCCAGCCATGTGCTAGGCAGGGTATGTCAACATGTGTTATTGCCAACTGTTTCATTCTGGCCGCCACATATCAGCTAACCTTTGCAAACATTTGAAGGACAAATTCACTTCCCTGAGTAATGTCTGGCTTATTGGGCTGGAAATATACAAATACTGTAGTAAACAGCCATATCGCTAAAATTATGCAATGTCAGATTTTACAAATGTGTTCCATACAGAATGCTTTATTTGTGTTATAGTTGAATTGTCACAATAGTGGACTAGTTATACACAACCAATATTTATTTATTTATTTGGGCCTCTTAGTCTTAAAGGGATCGCGCACCCAAAAATGAAAATTCTGTCATTTATTACTCACCCTCATGTCGTTCCAAACCTGTATGACCTTCGTTCATCTTCAGAAGACAAATTAAGATATTTTTGATGAAATTCGAGAGCTTTCTGATCCTGCATAGACAGCAACGCAACTAACATGTTTAAGGCCCAGAAAAGTAATAAGGTCATCATTAAAATAGTCCTTGTGACATCAGTGGTTCAACCTTAATTTTATGAAGCTACGAGAACACTTTTTGTGTTCAAAGAAAACAAAAATAACTTTATTCAACAATTTCTTCTCTTCCATGTCAGTTTTTGACGTGCATTCACGAGAGTACCACAATGCATGCGTTTACAAGCAGTCTTTGTAAACATGCCTGAAGATTTCGACAGAGAGGGAGTTTTTGCACAGCCTTACTTATTTGAACCAGAATATACAGATGATGAACTAAGAGAGATGGACATCAGCAACACCACACATGTGCTGTTGCACTTTCCTGAACGTGCATTAAAGACTGACACGTTAGAGAAGAAATTGTTGAATAAAGTCATTATTTTTGTTTTCTTTGCACACAAAGTATTCTCGTAGGTTCTTAACATTAAGGTTGAGCCACTGATGTCACATGGACTATATTATCGATGTCCTTGCTACCTTTCTGGGCCTTTTCATTTCAGTTGCGTTGCTGTCTTTTTTTTTCTGTTTGCAGTAAAATTAGTTCAAAAGTTCATTAGTTTTACAGTTCACACAGAAGATTTCTTTTAAAATTCATCCCCACTTCAACATCCACGCACACAAAGACATTTTGTGTCTTTTTTTTTGTCTTTTGCCATTAGCACTGTGTTTTTAAGACGTTAAGTTAAAAATTGTGAAAGAAAGTGTATGTTTAGATGCATTATCAACATCCAAAAGGTCACTTTCTTCTGTTTTATTGTCCTGTGTAAAAAACATACAAAATGTTTTTTTAAAAGGTTTCTAAAAAACATATTACATCTAAAGAGAATTTAGAGAGGCTGCTGGCTAAACGCATTGTGGCGATACATCAGAGAAAGTGATGAACACTGAATATGAGCAGACAGTGATGAAGTGACACTGTTATAAAGGGAATCTGATGCACCACTTTATACAAGGGCACTTTTTCTTACAATGGCAGCATTTATTGACTGTTTAAGATTTGTTGTTATCATGGGCATTAAACAACCCTCAGCAGCCCAAATCTGATTGCAATGTGTAAGACTCAGAAATCCCTTGAAGATACAGTTGTATGATGCACAGATGTGAGTAAACCAACGGAGAGAGCGGGTGAAAAAACGGTGAAGGCCAAGTGTTCTCAGTGACCGCTGATCTGCTGTGTGACTGAAATGTTAGTTGCTGCCCCAAGGCAGTTGCTGGATAGCTCATCATCTGGGTAGTATTACTTGAATCCCCATTGGAAATGAACTCATTATGTTATGCCTCATTCAAGCATGGACTTCTGGATCATTTTGAAGATCCCTTTTGGCATTTGGTGCATGTTATAATATCTCTGAAAGCAGCGGAGCCCAACCACTGACCCCAAACATCGATTAGACACATGAGTGGCTGCAGTGCCCTGCAGAAACAGGTGTAGACTCTCACATCTTTTTTGATCGCTTCTGAAAAACTTGAACCTAAAAATGATCGACGACTGCCACAGATTTAATTTTGAATCCAAAAATAATTTTTCATTCTCTCACTGTAGTTTTTGTGCATGATGAGAAAAACCAACTTACTTTTGAATGTGTTTTATTTGACTGTGAGGTAACTGAGGCAACTGTCTATGAAGCAGGCAGTGTGAGAGACCAACCGTATTGCCTTTTCTCTCCTCTATTACAGTTTAATTTTGTTGGGAAACTGCTGGGGCCCAGGGGCAATTCCATGAAAAGATTACAAGAGGAAACGGGAGCAAAGATGTCCATCCTCGGCAAGGGTTCAATGAGGGATAAAGGCAAGGTAGGATGACTGGCAACAACTTCCTTCTTTATCCTCCTGTGTACTGTATAAATTTAATATATTCCATAAATGCTTTGAGTATTATTATTATGATTTACATTGATTTGTCTGTAACCATATATGCCATAACTGTACCAGCATATTTTCGGATATTAATATCTAAACTGACTGCTCATGACAAAAACAAACTACTTGCATTTGATTAGACCTGTATTAAACCATATATTGATTTTTGTCAAGGAGAAAGTATAATAATATAATAATTCTATGGAAGTCTGTTTCTGCCACGAAAGAAAAAAAAATGTGTTTTGATATGACATATAAAGTCAGAAAGTAATATATAAGTTAAAGGGTCATTATGACATACTAAGTCATAATTATGAGATTAAAAAGAATTAATTATGACATAAAATGTTGACTTTTTATTTCACAATTGTGAACTTTTATCTTATTATTTCAGTAATATGACTTAATATTCATAATTTGAAAAACCTTTTATGTTATAATTATATTGAAATATTGGCTACTAAAAATGAAAACATTTAAATGACAATTTTTTGTCAATTATGACCTTTTATGACAATTTAAACTTTTTAATTATTATAACTTTTTATCTCATAATTATGATTTAGTATGTCATAATTTCAACTTTTTTTATCTTAAATTATGACTTATCTCATAATTTTTCATTGTTATATCATAATTATGATTTACCAAACCATGATTTTTTTTTTATGTGGAGGAAATGGGCTTCCATAAGCTTGTACATGTTATGCACACTACATTTATTCCAGAGCAGAGTACTTTATCCCTTAAATCCTGTAAACTTTTCATTTGTGTGAGTCTAACAAGCATCAGCAGTGGCTGACAGAGCAAAGTGTGAGATGACGCTGAGACTGAAGATCATTACCTGCACTATATGCTCCTAGATAAAGGAAGAACTGCTGTTTTTAGCATTTACTGATGTTGTATAAATTCTTGAAAAAAGAAGTATATATACTATATCTAAACTATATCACAAATAGATAGCACTGACTCACATACTGTGTAATTTGGCTGAAAGTAAAGCCTGGCAGCCTAACAGACCTATGTGTTTTTTTTTTAATTGACAGTGTTTGTAGAATCAACAACATCTCTAGGTTGTAAAGGAGCTGTTGAGACTATTCGCAGTATGGTTCTTTCTCAGTGGATCTGATTTAAACAAGTGCTTTGTATTAAGTTGTGGTGAGTGTAATGTTTAGAAATGGCATTTTGTGATTCAGCCAAACAGCTGCCCTAAGAGACATGCTGGTCATTTACCTAGCCAGAGAATTGTTCCAAATGTAATATTTCTCGGTTTGCTGCTCCTGTCATCTCATAATAGGCCATCCTGATTTCCCCAGCTCAATAAAATGTTCATTTTAATGTAATATTATTGAATGTAACTCCATTGAATGAGAAACATTCATATCAAGCAAATATTAGTTTTCTTTCAGTGTAGTGTATGAAATGGAATGAAGCAATAAGCAAAGTGAGGCTGTGTTTTTACCAAAGCGATTTTACCACTGTTAAAGGGTGTTGTTAGGCACAAGTGAAGCATGGAGACTTGGCATATTAATAGCATTCAGTTGATGCGTGCATATTTACAACAATCTTGAATGTTGTTTAACCAGTAACATGAAACAATCCTTTTTTTCAACAACACCATGATGAAAATTAAACTTTGTTATCATAAGATTTCCACAAAGTCAACAGAAACTTTGTTTGTGCAATCAGCAATGCTTTTACAGTTACCTGAGTAGTATGAATTATTTACACAAAAGCTGTTTGTTTTCATCTGGTCTCTGAAGAATGTTCTGAACGTGTTAGAGGAATGAAATGTAGTGCACAGTGCAAAACCCAGTGTCTTGTTCACATTCCACCTGCAATCTATTTTAGCCAGGTGCTACAGGAATGTGCGCTGTTTAGCGCTGTGTTGTGAATATTTAAACATTCTTTTCAGCGCAAACACCTCCTTTCTATATAAATGAAGTGAATGCACCGGATCTGCCTATGGATTAATCAATGTGGTGTTATCACTGAAATAAGATTCGTTGATCTATGACTCAAAAAAAGAGTAATGAAATATTTTTTTCATATGCAATATTGATCAGAAACCATATAAGATGTCGGAACAATTTGTTGCAACATGACCTGGTTGTATCCAATTGAAATAATTTTTACTAGATTTATTTTCACATCTCCTTGTATATTGTGTATACTGTATGTGGCCTTGCCTCCATTTATATATCAGCATTGTGCAAACAGCACTGTGTACATCATGTCATGCACACAGCCCCAATTTTACCATTACCTGATTTACATAATTTCTTAAGTGAATTCCGTGCTCAAGCAATGCAGATAACATGCAAATAAAAGATGCTTTTAGGGCTATAATCCTTTCTTAATGAATTCCCTCTCAGACTTTAATTTAAGCATATTATGCATATTGTTTTTACTAAAATCTTTCTTCGTTGCAATCATTTCACAGAGCCATACAAGACCAATGTCTTGTTATTGTTTATTGTCTTACATTGTTACATGCTAAAAAGTTGTCCAAATGAGACAGGAATATGCATTGTCTGATTCCATATAGCCATGTGGGGAATTTCTACAAGCAGAAGGTTCCTTTTAAATTTACAAACACATTGTTCACCACAATTTCACACTGTTTTAACAATGCGGATGAACCATGGTCTGAAATCTATTTAAATTTATGGCAGAACTCAAACAAGAGCCTGTTGGATTGTTTTAAATCCCAAAGGCAATCATTAATGCAAACATATTCCATTATAAAGAGTCACCATGAGCTGGTACAAGTTTGTTATACATATGAAATTAAGAGTCTGCCGTGCATCTTTATAGACTTGTCTGTGCAGCATCTGAAAGTCCTGCTGAGGTCTTCATATAACAGACTCTCTACATCCAAGGATCAGCAAAGCAAAGAATATTGCATTTAGAATGATTCCCTAGGCAAACAAATGAACAGCTTGTGTCTAAGGGCAGCAAATTGACTGAATCAAAAAATGGCATTTCAGGATATTACAATCACCACAAAGCAAAATGTAGTGCAAATCTCAATCTGGGGATACACAGCAGAAATATTTAACTCATATCCTTAATTTTTTTAAGGAAGGAAAATAAATGCAGCATTTATTATGACCCATAGTGCCATTTCCATGAGTCTCAGGAATAGATTTTATTTCGCTTTATAAGCTTTTGTTCGAATGTTTCAAATCTGAGCTCTTTAACTCCATAGGGGCGCTGGATAACTGTCAGGCTTATAAGTGTCAGATTCACTATTTGTACTTTACCGGGAATAAATTTGAGGAACCCTTCATTTTGTCACATTTGAAGAGGATTCTGCTGTGCTTAGACATGCTTACTTGAGTGCCTTTTGAAATGCATCCTGGGAGACAGACCTACCTTTTTAAATAACAAAACATTTTCTTCATGGATTGACATGAAAGGAAAGTTAAAGCTTTCAGGCTTGAAACAGAACAAATGTCATCTGACGAATGGTTTTCCAGAGGACTGTAAATAAGGCAGCAAACTTTTCACTGTCTCCTGCTTCCCCTTTTGTCTGTCCGTTTTTAAGTCAATCCGGAAACACCCACAGCGTCCATCCAACGCGCATATATTTGTGTCTGCTCGCAAAATTATCACATCTTCACAATTCGTCAGCGCCTGTATACGGAGCCCACAAAATATGATTACGCCTCTCAGAAATGTTGTGAAAGCTTAAGTGTATCCTGACCTTTCGTATATGCAAAGCATGATGGAAAAAATGCTTGGGTCACTTTGACTTGATAGAGAGATGGCATCGGTAAGTGTTTATTAAAGCTGAAGGGGCTACAAGGGCCCGCATCAGTGATCAGACATCTGTGAATGGCCCCTACATCAAAGCCCTCCTGTCTTTATGAAGAAGCCACAGCCGAATGGCAATCAACATTAGACAGAAATGTTGGCTACCGTAATTACAAGCTTTGTGAAGTTTTAAGTTTTTTGAAGTGCCACAGAACACCTTCAGCAATCAGAGAGAATTGAGAAACCGAATATTTCTGTGAAATATCACCCTTTTCTGCTCTTCCGATGGCAGAATTTAATCAGAAAGGTGATAGTGTCAATTTATTTCTGACAAAAAGCCCTCGGGCAGATTTAAGCATAATGATTTGCAGTATCTACGTACCCATTATCTGTGTTACAGAGTAAGGGTGTTGATAGGTACCATTGTTCACAATTTTCCTATGCCGTTATGAGAATTATTATTAAATGTGAGCTAAACAAAAGTCATCTTTGTGACATTTTGTCAAAATACATTCAAAGTATAGAGCTTCTTTCTTAAAGGGATAGCTCACCTAAAAATTATTATTCTGTCACCTTCATGTCCTTCAGGACCTTCATTTCCTTTCTATGTGGGACAAAAAGATAATTTGAAAAATGTCCCACGTGAGGGTGAGTAAATGATGACAGAACTGAACTATCCCTTTAATGCCTTTCCAGTTCACTCTCAGTTCAAAATATGCATAATGTGGATTGGAGGTGGTGGAAAAAAGTGCTATTTATTTAATTCATTAATGACATGATTAATTCTTCACACAGAAGTCCTGACTTGATATTTTTCCATCTCTAGGAGGAAGAGCTGAGGAAAAGTGGAGAGGCGAAATACGCCCATTTGAGCAACGATCTTCATGTTTTGATTGAAGTTTTCGCACCACCTGGAGAAGCCTATTCCCGCATGAGCCATGCCCTGGAGGAGATTAAGAAATTCCTTGTTCCAGTAAGTTCATACAGTTGGATTCCTTGAGAGGGATGGTGAGCTGGAAGCCAAGATGAGATGAGTGCACCAACCAATACTGAACTCTAGTGATCTCCTGCATACATAAATTTGTTCATGTTTATTGCGTATGGGGAAAAAAAGAGATTATAGAGTTATGCATATGATTAAATATATACATTGGAGATCTGCCTTACAAAATTGCATGTTTAACATGCTGGAATTGGCTAGAAACCGAGAGAATGCTGCTAGTTTCTGATAATGTATTTTGCAAATCCACATTAATTTAACCCTAGGTTATGATTCTGAATTTTCTTAAAAAACAAACAAACAAATGGCTTAACATGAAAAGTTCTTCTGCTTTTTTGACTATATTTATACAGTTCAGAAGTCAGTAAGATTTAAAATAATATTACTTTTAAAGAGATTTCAAATTAATGTGTTCAATCTATACAAATAAATAAATAAATAAGCAGAACAACTTTTTAATAGTAGTAGAAATAATACGATTTATTTATTAATTCATTTATTTATTTAATTTTGAGCACCAAATCAGTGTATCAGAATGATTTCTGAAGGCTCGTGTGACACTGAAGACTGGAGTAATGGCTGCTGAAAATTTTCAGCAATAAATTACACGAAACATATTAAAATAGAAAACAGATATTTTAAATTGCAATAATATTTCACCAAATCACCATATTACTGTTTGGACTGTATTTTTGATCAAAAAACGCATCCTTGGTGAGACTTTCAAAAACATTTAAAAATGTTATCAACCACAAACCTTTGAACAGTAATGTACACACACTAGCTTACTTGTAACGTTAGAAAAAATGGGTCCTGGAGCTTTCAAAGGTAATTAATGTGTCAAATGAATATCTCTGTATATAGTCCAGACTGTAAATATTAATGTAGCAGTATGAGTTATTGGCTTCAGGGAGGAAGCGTTCTAGGCAGGGCCGGATTTACCTCTTTTCGTGACATATAGGCAAAACAAATTTTTGGGCCCCCCTTCCCTATTAATATAATAGGCCTAATATTACCACCCAAGCAAACAAAAATATTTCTTAATCAGTGGAAACCGTTTGTTACAGTGTTTTCTAATTGCATTTCATTCCATTAATAGGCGCGGCGACGTGGCCTCATAACCACTTCGGGAGTGCATTATTTCTCTGATAATTTTAACGGCCCTGGTTCTAGGAGAGATTCCCTACATTCACCTCTCCTGCCCTGGGCTTTAGGCAGGCTCTTAGCCTCTTGGGCCACATCTTTGCATCACTGGTCTGGTCATATCCTCCATACGTACTGCTGTTAGTGTTGTTCCATGTTTTATCTTTATGCCCACTGCAGAATACCAAGCAGATGAGTTTTCAGTCTCAATAGCTCTGTTTCTAATCTATATCTGTAAGTTTTTTAAAAATGTCATAGACATGCTCTTGACATAGTTATGATGCCTTCTTTTTTACCCAAGTTCTAAGACAGCAATGTGTGTCCATTTCAGTTAGGATTCTGCCATAAAAGCAGCTTCCTATGCAGGCAGTAGGCGGCAAGGCAGCTCATTAGGGTTTGGAGCTAATGTCTTGATGTCTTTCCGTCTTTGAATTTGTTTATAGTGGTCTACTCATTTTTTTTTTTGTCAGAAAGCTTGATTCCTGTCAGGTTTAAAGGAGTGTGCTGGCATCTCAAGATGGTGCACTTTGAAATGTTAATAGTATCTAGGCAGCCATGTGAATATGTCATAGCATTTGTTTTATAGAGACATGAAATTATGGCCCCCTTCTAATTAAAGGCTTTTGCTAGGCCCCTTAAATTCAGTGAAAACAAACCTTAATGCTATGGCACACATGACATTATAGTGTATTGTGTGCTTCTTTCTTGCAATAGTTTCGGGAAGCCATTTTCTGTTCCAGCATCACACATCACAATGCCACAGTGTACAAAGAAAAGTCTATTAAGAAATGTTTTACCGAGTCTAATGTGGAAGAACTTGACTGACCTGCACCAAGCTCAACTCCTATTGAACCCCTTTGAGATGAATTGGAACACAGACTAAGAGCCAGACCCCTCACTCATCATCATTACCTGTCCTTAGTGATGCTCTTGTGTCCGAATGAGAGAAAATGGCTACGGCAAAACTTTCCCAGAAGAGTGGAAGCTGTTAGCAAAGGGAGGGAGACTCAGCTTCCAAATAATTCCCAACAAACACATACACTACCATTAGTAAGGTACTTTTAATGTTTTTAAAGAAATCTTTCATAGTTACCATTGCTGTATTTATTGAATTAAAAGTACAGTAAAAATGTAATATTATGACATATTTTTACAATTCAGAACAACCGTTTTCTGTTTCTGTGAATATATTTTAAAATGTAATTTATTCATGAATTGCCATAGTGGAAAATAAATATACTTAAATGTATTTGAAATACATTTATTTCATGCTAAGTATACTACAAATACATTTTAATATTTATTTACTTAATAAAATACCCTGCAATTGTACTTTTAGTATAGCCTAGTAAACTGGTATACTTAAAGTCTGCTAAATTGGAACAACTAATTTTGTACTTAATGCAGTTTAATAGTGCTGAAGTACAATTAAAGATATACTTAGTAGGGCTGGGTAAAAAATATTGCTATCTCGATTTTAATCGATTCTCATTTTTAAGAAACTATATCGATTCTTAAATCCCAAGAATCGATTAGTCTAGCCTGTTTTCAGTTAATGGATGGAACATTGAAGCGCACTTCCCATCCAATAAATCGCAACAAGGATTGTTCGTTGGTACTTTAAATATGAAACAAAGTCTCATATTTCAATTTATGTCCATTGTATTGCAGTATTTAAACAATAAATGCCGTTTTGGCGCTGTTTAATGTGGAGTGACAGATCGCTGTAGCGCCTCAGTTCAACAGACGCGGCAGCGCGAGGCGCACGTGAACTAATCATCTCCTCCACATTAATACCAGCTTCAGCACAAAATAATCATGACTAAACATCCGAAGGTAAGTTAAAAGAAAGAGTACAACTTTACAATCTGTATACTGTCTCATGTAATTGCTCAATCAGTGTTTCAGCCGCGCAAAGACCTCAATATAACGGCTTGTAAACAATGTCACGTAACGTCACATTTACCTCAGAAAGCATATTTGGTGACCATAAACTGGATAGTCAGCCAGAAAAATAAACTCTAGAGAGGAGCATTTGGCTAAATATATGCACCATATAACATTCATTGAGACAAATCTGCTATTATTTTAATCTCCAATCTGTTATTTATCAGTTTAGATAATAATATTTATTTATTAGATAATAATAGATTTAGTACAGCACAAATCAGTCAATTTTAACCTTCAATATTATAATGTAGTACCAACTTACTCTCATGTATATTTTAGTTGAGAGATTTATTTCCTTTGAGAAATAGCTACTGTACCTGATATGTATCCAAAATAATTGATATTGAATCGAATCGAATTGGTAATCGAATCGAATTACAACTTACACAAACTGAGAAAGTCAAAAAGTGTTACTTTGTGCCCCGTTCTCCCCTACACTTCAGGTACACTTTAAATATTTTGCATTTAAAGACCAATATTACTCAAAGATCATACAATCCTCATCAAAGGTGACATTAAAACACATTTTAGACTTCATATTAAGAATTGTGCATTGTGCACAAGTAGTACGCCAAATAAAGCATAATTATAATTTTTTATATCAGTAAGTTTCGAGTTATCTGTCAGTAAATATGTTAATAGATTTTAACTATACTTAGTATGAAATAAAGGAATTTTAAATATATTACTTTTTACTAGGGTGGCAAAGCTGAATTTTCAGCATCATTACTCCAGTCTTCAGTCAGGATCCTTCAGAAATCATTTCAATATGCTGATTTGCTGCTCAAGAAAAAAAATCTAACTTATTTTCAGTTTGAAACAGCTGTCCTGCTTAATATATTTGTGGAAGCCATGATACTGTTTTTCAGGATTCTTTGATGTGACGTTTAACAGAACAGCATTTATCTGAAATAGAAATCTTTTGTAACATTATAAAATGTCTTTACAATCATATTTATTCAGTTTAATGCATCCTTCCTGAATAAAAGTAATGTCTTTTTAAAACAATAGAGCATAGAGACAATGATTTATGTATGTATCATTGTCAATAAAATAAAGCTGCATGCAGATTATCTCTAGCTCTGGATTAAATTGCACTATGAATTGTGAAGTTCCATTGAATGAATTTTGTAATTCCAGATTAGGTTGGTTAACATACAATGAATATGTCTTTAAAAAAACAAACAAACAAAATGCCTTTGCAACCTGGACTGATAGGCCTAAACCTTTGTTGATAAAGCCTACAGAAAGCCCATTATGTGAATACGATTACACAATCTCACACACTGCCAAAGGAAAAGAGTGATTCATGCAAAACGCAGCATCTTTAGTAGGTGTCAGTGGGCTCTTCTCAGCGGCAGTACTGTACATGCATTGACTGTAGTCTCATTAAGAAGGAAACTGGCTAGATTTTGCAGGAGGAAGTCTAATACATACCATTAATACAGAATGGATGTACAGACTCATACGGAGACTGAAAAGCAAAAGCATTTATTTTTAGCCTGACTGGCTTGCTGGACACAATTTGGCCTGGTGTTTTTTAAGACTCCCTGTTTATATATCTGAATCAATGCATTATCGCTGTTATTAAATCTGATTCAGAACATAATTAGCTTTACCTCAAGACACTACATAATGAGTCCATCAGTATGCTCATTACATCTGATCAGTATAAAATACATTTCTGTCTGTCCATGTGTTACCCTCATTTCTCAAGGCTAGGAATGCAGTCAGATTGTTTAGGCTACGACATGGCCTGCCCTGGCAACAGAGAAAACCTAGCTAGCGCTGATCCAAGAACCTAACACACCTCCCACCTTTCAACATGTTATAGAACTCTAGGTTTTAGATTTCTTTGGTGAATCACCCCTCATTTGTCCTGTTTCCAAAAGTTTCACCAATTAGCACTGTAGTGGATGGATATTTATGTAGTGTTTTAATAAATGCACTATGTTTGGGATCTTTTTTGAAGAAAGTTAATTAAATACTTTTATTAGTCGGGGATGAATTAAATTGATAAAAAAATGACAGCAAATAGATTAATAATGTTATTGAAGATTTCTCTTTCAAATAAATGCTATTGTTTTTAACTTTCTATTCATTATGGAATCCTGGAAAAAAAATGGATCATGGTTTCCACAAAAATATTAAGCAGCAAACCTGTTTTTAACATTAATAATAATAAGCACCACATTTCTGAAGGATCATGTGACACTTAAGACTGCAATAATGCCTGCTGAAAATTCAGCTTTGTCATTACAGGAATAAATTACATTTCAAAATATATTAAGTTTTATTTTAAATTGTAATAGTGTTTTACAATATTACAGCATTCTTTGATAAAATAAAATAAAATAAAAGCACCCTTGACAAGTATAAGAGACTTCATTCCAAAAAAACAAAACAAACATTTTGTCATATATATTATATATAGCTTTGCCAGTTAAACACTGTATTTGGTATATTTACATTTTATTTAACAATGGACAAGCCCGAGCCCATTTATTGGACACAAAAGCAGCTCTAAATCTCAGCAATGCAATCTTTATTGATTGTTGAGCATATCTCTGTGGAAAGGCCACTCTCTTTTAGCTGCCATGTCTGATATTTGCCTGTACCCAGCTGTTGTGCCAAACAGGAAGGGAATAAGTGGCTGGTGGAAATGAGGCTCAGTTTATCTGCCTGTGGCAGTGACATGATAATAAAATAAGCGCTATCCACTCTGTAATCGTCCTTGTGATTCAGGACCCTGTCATGTTCAATCAAATGAGAGAAGGACTTTATAAATGCAGAAAGTGGAATTATTCTTTCACAACAATGCACTGATAGCTGATGTCAAACAAAGTTAATAAGCCAGCACTCTATTTTTCTCCTGCCTCTATCATTTCTCTTACTCTAAATGGAAGATATGTGTGCATCACGTTCCCTCATTCTGTACCATATTTTGGAGTGCGTGTCATATGGTGCCTTTTTGTCAGTATGTATGCAAAAATGTTTCTTGTCCTCCACATCTGAAAAACAAGCTAAAACAGATTTCTTTTTTTATCCTTGTTTTTTGTTCGAAGTCAGCAAAACTTTCTGGCAGTATATTTAACATTCTCTGCCAACGTTCTGGTGGTCTGGCGATGCATTTAAAACGCAGTTGCTTTGACGCTGGCTTCTGCAAGATGTACATCCAACTGGATCAGTTCTTTTTGTAAAAGCATGTCGGATGAGATGCACATACAACACATTCACATTTGTATAGAAATGTATTTTTATGTCAGGTTTGCTGTTTTTTCTTTCCACAGGATTACAATGATGAGATCAGGCAGGAGCAACTCCGTGAGCTCTCCTACTTAAATGGCTCAGATGACCCAAGCCGAGGAAGAACCGCACGAGGACGAGGCTTACGTCTGACCTCCACAGCCTCCACCCGGTACAGTAGCTTCACCTCACCACCCCTCTGAACAATCACAGAAACCTTAAAGGAATAGCTCATCCAAGTATGCCATCATTTATTCACTTTCATGTCATTCCAAATCCGTCTGATTTTTTTCTTCCGTGGAACACAAAGCAAGAGGTTTTTGAATATTTCTTGTATATTCTCCCTTTGAGGAAAAAAAATGTTTAAAAAATCAATTATTTTTAGTCTTATCAGAAGGAGAAAATGTCTGTCTTTCAGAAAAGCTCAGGCTCAGGTAACTTAACAGGGAAGATGTTTTAAGCTAATGAAGCTGATACTAGTTAGGAAAGTACACAAATTAAAAAATTAAAAATAAACAAGGGTGGACATGTTATGTTATATGCTAATGACCCCAAAAAATACCAGCAAAAATATCAGCATGCAAGTTTGGAATGATATGAGTAAATGAGAAATAAGTTTTGGGTGAACTATTCCTTTAACTAACATAGTGATATAATTGTGCTTGTTAATAAATTAAGTACAAATCAGATCTAAAAGAATAAATATCACATAACCTTAAAAAAAATCTTATTCTGCATTTCTGATGAAACCGAAGTCTTCCAAGTTTACTCTAACTGCTTTAACTCTTAACTGTTAACAACTCTAACAGAGGCCCAATTTTCACTCCCAAACATCTGCGCACTGTTGGATCATGAAAGTGCCCTGAGGCTCAGTGTTATTAATCAGGTTAGCAGGTGAAGCTTTAATTGTTCTCATCAAAAGCATAACTTATATATACCGTCATACATTATTTACACCATCTTTAATGTTTATTTCATACATTTCACACTGCACTTGTTCTGGCTTGTTTGAGCCTCTGAAGATCCCTCTAGGATTCTCCCAAAACAACGACAGCTTGCATTACCTCAGGTAGTAATAATAGATTCAAAATATGATCTTTCTGTTTACCGTTCCTGGCGGATAAACCTATAAAGCGCCTCTTGCCCTTGATGTGCCCTGAGAAGTCATTACCACAAATCAGCATGGCAAAAACAACAACACTGATGAGGCCATTAGTCTCTGTAGGATCTTTAGATTTGGATGGACAAAATGTAGAACTGGACAGACCGAAACATCTGCCATTCACCAGTGCTGCCAACTCCATCTGCCATGCTGCAACAGTAATCAGGTTGAAAATTACTCCAGAAATGGACAACTTCACCCCTTGATTCCACAATGGCAGCACAAGGGAGCGAAATAAAGCTGTCTCTCATCGCACTGAATGAAACAATGTGTTCTACAGACTGATTTTTGATGCCATTCTTCACTGCCACTCTTACAGTGTGTAACCAGAGCAGTGCAATGAAAGAAAAGAGCTGAGGCGGTGAATATTGCAATATCTTTGAAAACTCTGCTGTCTCACCTTATTGAATCACTGACATTATGGTTCACAGGGCTTTAATAGGCTGTCGGTGATGAAAACACCAGCTAACAGCAACCCACTATTATAGCACTGCAGCAAATGACTTCACACAAAATGCTAATTATTATTTTTTTATCTGTAAACATTGGAGTTGTGCTGCACTAATTTTGCATAGAGCTGCCACTGCATCAAGCCTTTGGTATGTGTCTATACAGAAATGTGTGGTTCTGCAGAAGAGTTATATCACAGCAATATCAAACAATTATGGAAAGGTTTGGTGCTGATATACTATCAAATTAACACTTTTATTGAAGCGCCTAAGAAAATAAATACTGTACAATGTAAATGACTTACAGTATTCATATGAATCAAAATTCTTATACATTAAGCTAAATCTACACAGACACAAACTATTTTGAGTTTTTTTTATTTTTTATTAATTAAAATAAATTTAGTTAAATTATTGTCGTTATTGGAAAGTTGGTTTATCCGTATTTTTGTATTTTATTTTAATATTAAATACATAAAAATATAATAAAATAAGCAATTAAAAACAAAATAACAACAAATATACTGCGCCAAAAATCTTAATAAATATATAAAATATTATAATATAAAATATAATATGTATATTTTCATAAAACAAAATAAAATAAGAAAGAAATAATATATTTCTATTATATATTATATCATATATTTTCTCTTACTTTATGTCTTTAGAGGTCGAGGGGGGGCAGCTCCACCCCCTCCACCTGGACGAGGAGCAGCAGCACCCAGAGGAACTGTGGGAACACGCACCTCTGTCCCAACACCCACACTAGCCAGGGGAGTGTCTGCACCCCGGGCCAGAGGAACTACAGGGACCCCTGGATACAGAGCCCCGCTACTGCAAGCCACACACAAATCATATGATGACTACGTAAGTCAAGATTAATTGTTTTTAATGACAATTAAAAGTTTTTTGAAGTGTGTACTGTATGTGTTTTAGTTTTGTTTGAAGAACTACTGAGGTAGAAACGTTTTGAGTTGAGTTTGTGTCCAAAAGCTCTTCATTATTGAAGGTCTTGCTTACACACCCACACAAACACATATACACACTCACAAAATAGAAGGCTTGACAGAAAAAAAGGTTTATGAATCCTTAAGGATTCTTGTACAAGGAATGGCCTTTCTATTTACCAAATGTTGAATGAATCAGTGAAGACAGAATCCATTCTGACAGATTGAATGCCATAAGATGTTAGTCTACATGCTGACATACTGTAAAGAAAAGCCATGTGGTGCAAAAAGAAAAGCAACTGCTCACTTGATTGACTGTTGTCTGTGAGACGATGAGCTTGACTATCACTATCAGTATCTGACTGCCATTACCAGTATTATAATTATTGATGATGGTGATGATGATGATGATTATTAAACAATAATGGAAGCTTTTGCTGATTTGTAGGACAACACCTATACATTGCAGACTTTTTGTACCCAGGTGTGCACAAGGTTATTTTTGCGAATTCTGAGCCAAGTGAACGTCAAACTCCAACCTAATGAAAAAAGCAATATCTCATGGATTCGATTCCCTCTGAGCTTTTGCCTAATGCAAAAGCCCTATATGTGCAGCGCTGTGGTAGATTGGTCTGTCTGCATGGGGAAATGTTAGAGTACAGACTCATTACCAACGTGAATTGAGTTCTGCTGGAGAGCCTCTGTATTACGGGAGACATGGAAAATGTGGACATATTTCTGTGAGTAATTGGGTCTGGGGTAGGCAGGTGGAGGAAAGAGGACTAAGAAATGAGCAGTTCACTAGGAACATATTGTATATCTTTCAAAATCTAACCTTGCCAATCCTCAACCTCGGGATTTTTACCTAGACTTTGAGAATTCCAGAATGTGCATGTATATTTGTGGAAATATATATAAGTGCATATAAAAGTGTATATGACTATGTACAAGTGTATCTTGTTTCTATATTTTATACTGTATATTATACATAGAGAGAGTTATCTGAATCTGAAAATTGAATCTTGTATTACTTATTCACATTTCTTTGGTAAGAATCATTTCAAAGATTCAATATCTTTCTGAATCATATTACATTTGTGTGATTAACATAACAGCAGAAGAGTTATATTACAGTAATATCAAACAATCATGTGAAAGTTTATAAATAATGAAATACTATAGTCAAATTAAAACTTTTACTGAAGTGCCATAATGAATTCTTATAGCTACACAAAGCTAACCTGTTTTGAATATGAAGTGCAATTTTTTAAAAACCCAATAATCCATTTATAATATTGGGGGGAAATGGTTTATGAGTAATTTTTGATACGTGTAGATATTAAATATGTAAATATAACATTTATTAATAATAATAAGATATTAATTAGATTTTTTTTGCCATGGATATTTTATCCAAACCCTTAAAAATAACATGTCCTTCCACTTGTCATTAAAAAATGACAGGTACTGTATAGTCAACAAGCAGCTTTGAACATATTATTTTGAAATGTTACAGCAGTCTAGTTTTTCTACTAAGCCACAGAGATATGTGTATATATGTGTTCAATAGAAATAGTCTTTTTTTCTGTTATTAATTTGCTGTCTGCTTTTACACAAACTTAAACTGTCATCCAGGTTTAAGATGTATAAAATGAAGACACATGAATATCCACTGTTGTGTGGCAGCGTTCTGCTCTTTTTGTGGCAGAGGATTTGAATCCAGTTAATCACAGCTCTTATGTATATCAGCCGAGCCGTGCCAGACTGCCTCCTCCTCTCCCTCTCAGCACAACAGCTTTACTCAAAGATCACAAGTGCTTTCTCAGAGGGCTCTTCACTCTTCTACAAACCAGTCAGACACTCCACTATGAGCTGACGCCCCTTTTCCTCCCACAAAATAAACAGATCTCTGAATGTGGCTTAGTAGAAAACTAGACGGCTATAACATTTCAAAATAATATGTTCAAAGCTGCTTGATGATTTGTAATTTTCCAGCTTTTCTTATCCGTTGGCCATTGTTTGTATGTTGTTTGATGTTAAAATACTTTTTCTTATCCCAGTTTAATATGCAGAGTGCTTGTAAGTCATTTGTAGGTTGAGTATGCTGAAAAGTGTAAACACTGAGGCTCTGTGGTGTAATCAAAACATTGTTTTGTTTGTTTGATTATCCTGACCAGCCCAGCATAGCAACAGGGTCTCAGCCAATGGTGTTAGTTTGGGGCGGGGCTATCTGTTTGTTTTGACCAATGGCAGACAGGGGAAAGGTGTTTGAGAACAATAATTATTTTTCCATTTCTGTTCGGTAATAGTGGTGCAGCAATAACACACTGGAGAATTATTTTTTTTTTTTACAATTTACTCACCCTCTTGTCCTTTAGAAAACTCACAAGACTTTTGTTCATTTTTGAATCACAAACTAAAATATTTTTAATGGAACCTGAGAGATTTACAGTACATCTTACCATTGAAAGTCCATTCCAACCAAACGCTTTAAACAGCATTAATCAAGCATGTTTGATTTTACATTCATCATATATGTACTGTACGGTATGTGCATTTATCAATGTTTATATGTGAATTCAAAATATGTTTATTTGTGTTTTGAAGATGAACTAAAGTCTTGCAGGTTTTGAATGACGTGAGGGTGAGAAACTGATGACAGATTTTTCATTTTGGGGTAAACTAACCCTTTAACCGCCTCACAGTTTTCTTTTTTTCCTGCATAATATACAGTTTTAATGTGCTAACTGTTTGAAAACCCAATTAAAAAGCATACAGAATGCCTTCTAAGGTCACAACCAGGTCACTGTGGATAAATAAATGAAAAGGGTCAATCGCTGTGAAAGAAGCCCTTGAGTGGCTCGGATAGTATCGCAGTAAACCTCTTACACACACAATCACGCACCACTTCACATGGCAAAAGCCAATTCAAGGTGCAGAATAGAATGTTTGGAAAAGGCTTCATTCGCACTATTTCAAAGCAAGGTTCTCACCACGGCTGTAATTGTTTTTTAACAATGGGCTCGCTTACACCGCTGACTTGACATTTCTGAGGTGAACTAATTATTGAAATGGAATTCTTCATGCAGAACTCCCTCGTTTAATAAAACAGATGTACGACATACACCTCGAGAAGAAGTTTAATAATTTCCTGCTGAAGAGATGCATGTGGAGTGCCTAGAGGCTCAGTATATTATTTCAGCTCTGCACATGAGAAGGCAGTTAAAAAACTGGGAAAAGTAGCGCTTTTGCTGTGAAAATATCAAGGAGGGATGAGCTGCATGTCATGACCGGTTAAATTGTTGTGTACAGTACACGCAAATATCAGCACTTATGATTTCCATGAGCTACAGTATATTTACTGGTCAGTGATTACTGAATCAGGGAACACTGGCTACGGCTATCACAACTCCTTGTCGTGCATGAAATAACGCCTATTAAAATTTATTGCAACATGATTTGCAAATGCGCAGTAGATTGCTCCGTTCCAGGAATTGCTGCTTCTGAAGGTTAGAAGTAATAGCCTACTTGTCTGTCATCAGCTTACTGAATTAGTTATTTTATTTGGGTGATTGTAAAAGTTTATGTAACAAGTAATATGTGCTCCTATATTTCTACAGTGAGATCTTTGGCAATAAACAGTCCTAGTTTATCACATTTCTGCTGCCACTTTCTTAGTACTGGCAAACGACTGTGCTTTCAGGCAAAGCCAGTGCTTTCTAAACTGTTATTTTAGCTCTATAATTATTCATGTGGTTTTTCTTGGGTTGGTGGAAAGTGCCTTAATGATTTCCAGTGAGCGGTTATCATATATGAATAGACATATCAATTATCTGTATTTCCAGTTTGTAAGTGGTAAGAACTTTTAATTCTCTGGGGAAAAATCATATAAATATCCTGGCCATAGACAATAATTTGCTTGATTAAATTATTTGAGATATTGTTTGCCTAAAGCAAAGACTGTGTAAATCTGTCCTGAATATGTGAAGATTTCTCTACATATGGAGCAACACATGGTAATTGACATATTTGCATGGAAATGTATGGAGAAACTCAGAGAGCAGCGGTTTTAGAAAATAATCTATTTAATCAGATCCTCAACAAATCACAACAATTCCATGCAGTTAAACTTAACATATATCAACATAATAGTTATTTTACAAAGAATTTCCCATACCAGGATGACTAAATTCCACTTAAACTCATGATTCTAATATATTTAATATACAGTGCTTCATAAATATTGTTATTTATTTCCTAAACGTTGGCCAATAGGTTTTGAGTAGTGAATTGCTGATGCAAATACAAACAGAGATGCCAATGACAATACCAAAAAAAAAAATGTTTTGAGTCAGAACACTGGTCTTTCTGCCTTCATTATCCTTTTTCCAATAAACTGTGGTTAACTGAATGTAATATTTAATTCATTTAAACCTATTAGTCACTAATCACCATGATATGAAATACAGTTTCCCTTTAATATAAAATTGATGTGCAATGAAATCCCATTTTGATTATGTTTGGAAGAATTATGTGTCCTTTCAATGTTTGCAACAATCAGAACGGACTATTAAATAGATATATGGCCTGTTGGATGTCAGTATATTTCAGACTGCTCCATCCTGTCTGGCCTTAAGCCCATGTTTGCTCATACTTCAAACTGAAAATATTAGCCCTGAAAAATTGGTTGAGAAACAAGTGGTAGACAAAGAGGCTTCAGTAAGCAGACGGAATCACAGACAAAAAGCATTTTCAACCATTCATTTCCCTTTGCTGCTCTCCAGTGAGGAATCATATTCAGGTGCTGTCCCACACAGAGATCAGTCACTGTCAAGAGGTGTTGGTGGTTGTCAATTGATAATGAAGCTGAGTATTGAAGACCTTTGGCTGTCTGCTGTATTAATTACTCTTGCAGTGCTCTCTACCACTTGATTTATTTCCTGTTAGCTTGCTCAATAGGACCAGAGTTAATTGCTCTTTCAAACGAGTGTTGAAATGTAACGATCAAGCACCATTAACTAGAGCTTGCTCGAAGCATGTTAAAGTCAAAAAGGTCAGACACAAGGACCTCTTAAATAACACTTTGTTATTATACTAAGTAATATCCTGGCCACATAGTGTTTGCATAGATGTGCAAGACCTCTGCATACTATAAAGTACTAAATAGTTTCATATAGATGTTTGAATGGGTTTTCATGTGTTCCTATTGTAGAATGTCTTGCTTCTAACTTTTTGACGTATAGGAATAGACGTTAGTCAGAGTAGAGTATTTCTTACAGGAAAACGAGGCTGTACAGTGCATTCAATGATTTGTACTGTAATGATGGTCTGATGGTCAAATATGTGATCTAATTGAATTATTTAGAGAAACAGCCACTTTAAAATGCTAAGGAGAAAGTCGAACAGTATCTAAAAAGGCACATAAACTAAAAAGACTGATGAAAAGAGGAGAAACCAGCACTATCATATATTGAAATCTTTTTAAACTACTAATGACCACCTTTACTAGAATTTATCACGTTTTATTGTAGGCTTGTTTATTGTGTAAAATTGAGTCTAACTTGTTGTAGAATTTATATTAGATGATCTGTTGAGAATAGCTTTTTCCCTATAAATTTTTATTACAACTGTGGCATGTTGTAGCTATTGGTTCTAAAAGTGCAGGCGATTGTTTCTTAATAACAAATGCTATATTGATTAATTTTTTTTAAAAGTCATTATTGATTATAGATTCTAATCTCACTACCGTCTGTAGTTCACTCATATCTTTTCAAACCTAAATTTTCTCATTTTAATCTTTCTGAATCAAACAATTCACTGAAAATATCTTAGTCATACAGGTAACAAATGACATCAGGGGTGAGTAAATGATGACAATTTTCATTTTTAGTTGAACTATTCTGTTCGTTCATTAAATGTCATAGCAGACAAAAAGGACACATCTTCATCTTCGCAAATGTTAAAATGAAAGCTACTCCTTCCGTTCTTGATGAAATTACCCTATTAAACGGGTAGGTCAGTCACTCACTACCTCTCACTGTTCTACCAAAATGTATTTCCTTAGAGTGCTGTTGGTATTAGAGTGATTGACATGTTCTGAAATATGCCATTAATAGTAAAACATGCTGCTTCTTCTATACGCTGCTGCTTAAGATATGCATAGCACTCTATCAAGAGGACATGTTAACAAACCGGTCAATTAGTGTGAGAGGACAGAACCCTGACCCTATTAGCATGAGGAAAAACTAATAGAAGGAAACTTGTGTGTTAGATCTGGACCTGAACAACTTAATCCCTGGCATAATCCGTAACTTTAATTTACTCTAATCCTTCTTCATACTCATAAAACCTAACTGTTGTGAAGAATTTTAATGTAAAGGGAATAGACAGGGTCAAAATAGCTTACCCAGGTTTTTCTGACAGATTAGGCCTAATAAAAAATGGAAGCGCTTTCAGTTAGTCTGTCTGAACAACAAAATGGAAACAGCATACTTGATGTTATGAGTTTGAATTTGTGCATTATTTGGAGTTTACCCAATAGTGAGTTGTTTTAATCAATCCAAAATGGTGTCATCACCACGAAATTGTGTATTTAGCACAGGACGAAGATGAATTTTCATTTTATGATGCTGTGTATCTTTTACAGACCAAAAAGTCTGATTGTTGGGGTGTATCTCACAGACACAGCAGATGACTTCCAATTTACTAAAATCCGGCATCTGGCCAAGAGGGACACAAAAGCCACAAAATCTGCCTTGTACCCTGAACAGCGAACTGACAAAGGAAGTGTACCAAACAGTGCTGTTATAGACACAGGTTTAATTGCTGTCCCAACTACTTGAGACATTGTCTCAAATATTTCCGACCAATATCCATATAGAGTTGGGCAGAACCAAAACATATATGCCAGGGTTGCAGGAGCCTGACGACGACGGTCACAAATAGGATCAACATCAGAGTAAATTTGAGAAAGTTTGACCTTAGTCCAATGAGTACGATGAAGTATTTTGCATTGGATCCAACTGTGTTTGGCACACACAGATGAGGAATGCACCCTGTATAAAATGCTTTCCCACAGTTCGTCTGTGATGTCTTCTAATAAGTCTTCCTCCCATTGAGTTTTTATGGATGTCAGAGAATATGCAGAGAACATATTTTGTCATAAAAAATTGAAATCATCCCTTTCTCAATACACATTGGTTCGAGTATTAAATCTATAGGAGTAGGAGAGGGGAGGCTAGGGAACTGAGGATGCATATTATGGATAAAACTGCGAACCTGCAAATATCTGAAAAAATTGTTTCTGGGCAGCAAAAACTTATCTGAGAGCTGTTGAAAGGATGCAAAAACATCATCTATATATAAATCTTTAAACGTAGATAAACCATATTTTGCCCACTGAGAAAAAGTCCTGTCCATCATTGATGGTGGAAAAGCAAAGTTTGATGCTATAGGGGCAGGTATAGAAAATATAGTTTGTTATCCATAATACAGCCTAAACTGTCTCCAGATTCGTAGTGACGTTTTTACAATTACATTTTTTGTATATGTAGAGTGTAAACTATTAATAGGGGAGTATAACAGGGCAGTCAATGTAGTTAGGGATACATGAAGTTGTTTCTATGGCAAGCCACATAGGTGAGCTTTGCGACTGGGACTAGTTTAACCAGTATTGAAAAACCCTGAAATTGGCAGCCCAGTAGTAGTGTCTAAAGTTGGGTAAGCCCATACCCCCCAGAGATTTAGATCGCTGAAGAAGTGCTTTGCTAATCCTAGCAGTCTTTTTATTCCAAATAAACTCTGAAACTAACCTATCCAGTTTCTGAAAAAAGGATTGAGAAAGAAAAATGGAAAATCTGCCTTGTACCCTGAACAGCGAACTGACAAAGGAAGTGTACCAAACAGTGCTGTTATAGACACAGGTTTAATTGCTGTCCCAACTACTTGAGACATTGTCTCAAATATTTCCGACCAATATCCATATAGAGTTGGGCAGAACCAAAACATATATGCCAGGGTTGCAGGAGCCTGACGACGACGGTCACAAATAGGATCAACATCAGAGTAAATTTGAGAAAGTTTGACCTTAGTCCAATGAGTACGATGAAGTATTTTGCATTGGATCCAACTGTGTTTGGCACACACAGATGAGGAATGCACCCTGTATAAAATGCTTTCCCACAGTTCGTCTGTGATGTCTTCTAATAAGTCTTCCTCCCATTGAGTTTTTATGGATGTCAGAGAATATGCAGAGAACATATTTTGTCATAAAAAATTGAAATCATCCCTTTCTCAATACACATTGGTTCGAGTATTAAATCTATAGGAGTAGGAGAGGGGAGGCTAGGGAACTGAGGATGCATATTATGGATAAAACTGCGAACCTGCAAATATCTGAAAAAATTGTTTCTGGGCAGCAAAAACTTATCTGAGAGCTGTTGAAAGGATGCAAAAACATCATCTATATATAAATCTTTAAACACAGATAAACCATATTTTGCCCACTGAGAAAAAGTCCTGTCCATCATTGATGGTGGAAAAGCAAAGTTTGATGCTATAGGGGCAGGTATAGAAAATATAGTTTGTAATCCATAATACAGCCTAAACTGTCTCCAGATTCGTAGTGACGTTTTTACAATTACATTTTTTGTATATGTAGAGTGTAAACTATTAATAGGGGAGTATAACAGGGCAGTCAATGTAGTTAGGGATACATGAAGTTGTTTCTATGGCAAGCCACATAGGTGAGCTTTGCGACTGGGACTAGTTTAACCAGTATTGAAAAACCCTGAAATTGGCAGCCCAGTAGTAGTGTCTAAAGTTGGGTAAGCCCATACCCCCCAGAGATTTAGATCGCTGAAGAAGTGCTTTGCTAATCCTAGCAGTCTTTTTATTCCAAATAAACTCTGAAACTAACCTATCCAGTTTCTGAAAAAAGGATTGAGAAAGAAAAATGGGAATGCACTGAAACAAATACATAAACTTTGGGAGGGTATTCATTTTTACTGAATTAATTCTGCCAGCTACGGACATGGGAAGCACCGACCATCGTTCAAAATCTTCTGAACCTGGAGCAGTAGATGACACAAACAAATTTTAATAGTCATACAAATGTGCTCCATTTTGTTTATGCAAAATAGAATGTCCCATTCAGATGCTTTTTCCCAAAAGATTCTTATGTGCTGCATATTCCGTATGTGCATTGTAAAAAGAATAATTTATTTCAATATCAATGAAAGCTTAAAAAAAAGAGTAAGAAAAAGTGTATGGATGACATGACTCATGTAGGATCTCCTGAACATCTCATCATGAAGTTTTAATCTGTTTATTGTTTCTTTTGTCTGTAATACTTGATCGACCTAGGCATTATCCACTTGTCTTCAAACATGGCAAATGAGACAATTGTCGCTCATTGATCAATATTTTCTGTTGGACATGATTCAGCTGTGCCAGTCCTCCACTCTGGGAGTATATTTACTAGAGAAATCCTATTGCGGTGTAATTAAACATTGATTTTTCAACCCTAAACAATTAGAGTGCTGCTTTGAGACAGATTCAGTCCTCTAGCGTCGCCCTCTGTGATTATTCTTTTGTGTTTCTGTGATTTCAGGGATACGATGATGGTTATGATGGGGAATATGATGACCAGAGTTATGAGGGCTATGATGACAACTACAGCAACAAGTGCACAAAGCAGAAAAGGTGCACATTTATTTTTAAAAGACATTTTGTCGCAACATGAGCTAATTAATGCTTAACTTTGACCCTAAGAATCTGTCAAAATGTCTCATAAGAATTATTTTCCCTCCTACAGTGTCTCAGAATATTATGAATATGGACACGGTAATAATGATGAAGCCTACAACAATTATGGTAAGCATCTGATCTACAGTTCTTCTAAAACAACATAACTTTTTCATCCACTTTTCTTTTAGCTTACTAGGAAACTATTAGGATTTTAGGTCATCCGTTTTGAATGGTGCACCACAAAGAGAAACATCCTCTTGCATAGCAGTAGTTTGCATAGCAGGCGGGCTGAAACTCAGTCATGGCACATTGCCCACACCAGTGAGAAACCTCTTTTCCTCATTCATTTTCCATATTGCTGTTAAATGTTTCAGAGCTAAAGGTAAGGAAAAACACCTAGCGGCATTTGCCAGTTGTTAAATCACCGAGGCCCAGGCCATAGCAGCTGCCATCTTACCTTACTAGTCTGCTTCAGGGCTGGGTTTTAAGATGCACTTGAAAACGTGGACTTGAGCCAGTAGAGAGCTAGAGGCATTGCTGAGGCCCACCAACAGAGTCAGAATGGCCTTTCAGCCATTACTTTGGCTTTTGAACATGTGCCCTCTGTGGATTACATTTGATGCAGTATTCCCTCTGTTCTTGGCATGAATTGTTGTTTTCCTCTGATGCCAGTTTCCCATTGTGTACGTGCCTGCTCATTCATTTTGCATTGTGGCAAATTGTGCAGTGGAGTGTCAAAGTGTTAACAGGAATGAGTTGACGTTTTGCCACTTATTGGCTTGAAACCAAGATTTAATTGTGTTAGGAAAGGTTTTGCCCATACCACCTCAGAGTAAAAAAAAAACAAAACAGTAATTGAGACTCTGTATCTCACAATAGCGCACAGTGTCTTTAAGTTTCACAGTTGCAGCTTTGTTTCTCACAGCTGTTTGGTTAAAAGACAATATTTAGTAATATTATTGATTTAACTACACTGTTACTTCACTACACTTTCAGATAAGAACAGAATTTGAACTGAATTGAGCTGGATAATGACACTAACTTTGCAACATTGACCCTTTTATTAAACTGAATTGAAACAACATTAAACTAAATAGAGCAGAATAATGACACATTAGATTCATAATTGATCAACTTGATGAGAAGTCAAGTCACATTTATTTATATAGCGCTTTATGCAACTGTTTCAAAGCAGCAAGAAAATAAGTAATTCATTTTTAATAATTGCAAATTTATTTCTTGCAATGTGACTTTATATCACAATTGTGACTTTATATCTCACATTGTGACACAATTTCTAACAGTGTGACTTTATTTTTCAAAATTTGACTTTATGCCTCACAATTGTGTGAAACTATTTCTTGCAATGTGACTGTATGACAATTTTGACTTTATTTCTTGCAATGTGACTATATCTCGCAGTTGTGACTATTTTGCAATGTGACTTCATACAATTGTGACTATTTGTAATTGTGAATGTCTCACAATTTTGACTTTATTTCTCACAATAGTTAATTTTTGTCGCAATGTGACAACACTATTGTGACTTCATTTGTTGTAATTGTCACTGTATCACAATTTTATGACAATACAGTATAACAAAATGTGACTTTTTCCTCACAATTTGACTATATCTTGCAATTGCAAATCAATCGTTATTATTTACTATTTGACCATTTGATCTCACAATTATGAATTTATTTCTTGTAATTGTAACAATATATACCTCACAATGTGACTTTATTTCTTATTTTTAACGTATCTCACGGTGGAAACAGACTTCCATAAGATTGCAATGAGCAGAGATAGTTTTTCACAGTGAGGAGGAACTAAGGGGAAAAGCTATTTAAATATAATGTGAGTGAGAGAGGGCTGTTTGTGCGGTAGTGATCATTTCACCGAATACCGGAATAAAAGGGATTTTGTCATGATGTATAATGGTTTTTCCTCCTTTCTCTGTGAAATGGTAGTTAGCAACAATGAAGGTTAAGGTTCTTTGCCCTGAAGGCGGGCTGATTGTTTCCTCAATGGCCCAGCGATCACACTCAGAGAACCTAATGGAGCATCGGCTCCCAACACATACTGTATTTAAATGACAGCAGGGTCATACTGTGAGCTTAAATAAACTAAAATGGGATTTTTAAGTGATAGGTCAATCATGTTTTTAAACTCACATTAACCTTGGGGGGGGGGAAGCAACATGGTCCCTTTTCTTATCTGAAACTGTTGACTTCTTTGTATGATACCTTATGAACGTTAATTCTGGCCAGGATTTGGCAGTGTACTTTTGTCATTGAATGCTCCTTCCTTTAGTTTTCCATTGTTTGTCCCCCAAATGTAAAGCATGGAATTAGCCACACATTGCGTTAAGACAAAAATGTATGAGGAGAGACTCATTTTGTACATAACATCTTTCGTAATACTTCTTGATTTGATGATGGTAAATACTGAGTTTGTACATTTAATTTTGATATCAGTATTGGGTTTGAAAGCAATTGGCTATGTATGTAGCCACATCCAAGTGCTTTGCTTTGTGTGTAGCTTGTATTTGTACATAAAAATGTAATAAAAAGGATGTAAAGCGCCTTGTGCAAGCTTCTCTAAATAGGTGATCATAATTGTTAAACTTGTGTTGCTATAATTTGTTAATAAAGATTAGATCATTTTTGTAAAATTAGATTAGGTACGTACTTGTCTCTAGTACTAAATGCCTGTATTACCTGAGGAAATGGATAATATGGTTTTTTTATAGATATCTATTTAACAAAGAAAAGCCACAAAAAGGAACCGTAGAGACGTTGTCAAGTCATTTTGTGTAATAATAGATAAGCTTAATTAATAGAATTAAACTTTGTTAAATAATTTTTAACATTTAGCTCTAAATTGTTCATTGACTCTTGATTAGTCATTTAAATGTTTAACATGTTAATGGAAATCAACTGTTTAGACCAATAAATTGAATCTTTTTTAACACACTCTTTAAGCTTCAGCTTATTAAACAATAAGTCGGACTGACTTGTCTGCGCTAACGTGACTCTGAGAATGATATGGAGATTCAGGAGGTAAGAACGTCCCAATATTCCAATAAGATGTTCTAAGTGCCTTCAGTCTTTGGTGTTAACCACTGTAGCCAATGTGAATATGGCTGATATTCACACTGTTTCATCACTCGCAGGAGTGAATGGGGTCCAGTTAAAATGCTTTATCTCTGTTACCTACAGTACATTTTCCTCTTTTGCTATTTATGTTAATGAACATCAGAAGGCTGCATCTGTGTTGTAATACCAATGCTTTTAAATATCAGCACTATTGAAGGCCCCATAGAGACCTGAACTCTTTTTTGTGACTATTAGAACGGAATGCTGACGCGTATTAAGACTTCGAAAGGATGACTAAACGTTAAGCAGGTAACCCTAATAATAACTCTAATGTTGCGAATGCCAGTCATAAATTAAGTTATTTATACTTCAAAAAGTAAACCTGCCCTCACTAACCCCTAATAAATGCCTCGGCCCTCTAAATCCGCTAATAAAGTTAACTAGTGACATCAAAAATGACTTACTAACACATAAGAAGAAGAAAAAACTATTAACAATCCATCTTTTAAAAGAAGCTAAAACTGATCTTTAATACCTGACCAGCTAAACTAAGCTTTTTAACCAGACACGCTGAAAAAGATGGTTGCTCTCAAATCATATTCTGCTCTGACAGCTTTTGTCCAGCCCCACAAATTGGTTTACTTTTTTGATAGTAACATATGCTTTGTCAAACTGTTTTCAATCCATCTGTTATTTGTGCATGCGAGTGTACGTTTGTTTTGACTTGTAGTCTCACTCATTGTCTCTTCTTACTTCATTTTGTGTATTATACTAATAGCGCCTCGAAATCTATATCCTAAATTTGATTTATCCTTCCAACAGGTACCAGTCTCTCTGTGAGCTGAGATGCAGTGGATTGAATCAGACTGGGTAAGCTGCAAAAGTGTCTCTAAACATGATAACAAATGCATTCAAATATAGTTTAGGTGTATATTTGCTGGGGTTTATTATGACTTCTTGCCTGATTTTTATTATTATGGAAGTTCATACATCCATTAATTTTCAGCCATATAGGTGGGAAACACTCTCATTTGGCATAAAGCTGTCATGCTACATCGGAAACACCCAGTATACACCTATATGTACCATACAGCTGTCTTAGAGCGAGACAAAACAATAAAGCAAACAATTTTACTTCAAACTGAGGAGCATGTACTAATGTTTTGTTGTGACAGTACAATTAATAAACCATTTAACAAGTAACACAAACATCCTATTGGGTTATAGCTTGAAGACAGAAACCCACCCAGTATGATATAGACTTATGACACTACGCACAGATTAATTGCACGACTAAAATATTAAGTAGTGATTGTATGACCTCGAGTGAAATGTGGCCTTCAGGAACAATGCTTTGAACGTTTGGGTAATTAACTTTTTTTATTGTTATTAAATATGCTGCAGGAGATCCCCGAATGTGAACAGCAACAAGAGACAAAAACACAATATTCTTTGGGACTCATTCTGTTTGGTTTATTTTTTCTTTTGCTAAGGCAATTATGCGCATCAGAAACAAACAAAAAATGTCAAATCATTAAACGCAACACTTTCAATATCGATTTAAGCTTTTTTTTTTAATGCTTGGGGCTTCCAAAATGCGTATATTAGTCATTCTATTAATTTTGACATTTTTTTGGTTCTCTTGATGGATGGAAGTCTTTTGTAGAGGTCAGCCATGTTTTATAGTCTAATTAAGGACAAGACAGGGGCATGCTCAAACAGATGCGTTTTTTCACACAGAGAACCATTTGTAAGCCAACAAAGGATGAGTAAATCACTGATGCTTATCAGATGGCTTATTTGAGAATGGAAAGGTAATAGGAACGGAAACGATGGCAAAGATGTTTTAGTCACATTAACACTGCTGTGATTTTTGATCGTTAATGGTATGCATGAAATAAATCTTCAACCGTTATATTAAATTTGTGTAAAATAGTATGTAATTAAATGTAATGAAAAAGGGATTATTCATTATTGAAATCATTTTTATGGTATTGTGATTTGTGGACTGGTATGATTCTGAATGGCTTTAGGCTTGCTAATTAAAATGGGCATTGTCTTGGAATCAGTGGCACACAGGTGGCGATTCTGCTATTTCACAGTAGTGCCTTCAGTATGAACATGTCAGCAGAGGATTTTGAAGCTTGGATGCATATCTCATTTGTCTTTATACAGTGTTCCACGGTGAAAGAGAGTGCATGAGGTCTGATATTTTGGATGCAAACGTAAAGGTGGTTAATATGACAAAAATATCAGTTTATGACTGATCTCTCATGTGCTGTGAATTAATGAGATTCATTAGTAACAAGCAACTGGACTTTTTAGGCTGTTAAATCTGGTCTTCTGTGATTCACAATGCATTTTCTTTTTGCGATTTTTTTTTTTCTGCAGTGAGTAAGAATACATTTATGACAATAACAGATTAATGCATGATGCTTTCTGTTGGGTGTCTGTAATTCACACACAAGACATTCAGTTTGCTGTCAAATACTTGTGGAGTTTCCATCACTGTTGAAAATCACTGTTGTTTTCTATGACAGAGTTGGTCATCACATAGAGAGCAAGAGACAGAGATGGAGAGTCGTTTGAACAAAAGGGCTTTAGAATCGTCATCACATTTCTTTCGCATAGTAGGAATTATTTGTTTGTATAAAAAAAATACAGCTGTGGCCCAAACAGCAACTTTTAATATAGCCATGATATTAAAAACTAAGGATACTTTCACAGCAATACAAAGGCACAATAAAAAAAAAATTGTTTTTGGTACATAAAATACTTTCCTCAGCTACTGACAATTTTGCTTATATTTATTTATTTATTTTTAAGATTAGTTGCATTTTATTAACATCTACAGAGTAATATCAGCACATCAGAACTAAAAATAAAGAGGACAGATATAAAGAGTATCATCATTAACTACCTAAATTTTAAATCACATATAAATATAAAAAATTTAACCAGCTAGACAGAGCTACACAAGAATGAATGTTAAAATGATTTTGTTAGGCAGCATGGTGCTTGAACACATTACATGCTGGTCCTGAAATTCAGTTCCTTTGGGTTTAACACAGCAGGAGAACAGACAAACAAATGTTAAGGACACAAAGCTCTTAACTGTACAAAAAGAGAAATCGACAAGCTCCAATTTCTTAGCAGCATTCAGACCTTCGAAATGTGGGATGATGATCTGTTGGTCTTTTCATCTTTTAAATTGTGGTCTTATTTTATTTTATACGCCTGTGATGTTGATATCCCACAATGTAGTGCCTCAGTTAAAGCCATTGTATGGGAATTAAACAGACTTTTATGACTCAGGCTTGAAAGAGTGTGTGAGCCTCCCGCCTATAGCCTCTTCAGAGGATCCTTCAGGATGAACGTGGATAATGGAAAGAGACCAGTTAATCCAGCCTCCATTACTTTTCCATAATCAATAATCAGTGCAGACGATGTAGAGATTTGAAAATAAATCCACTAAATTCTTTTAAATGAAGCTTGTAGCTTTTATTTAAGCCTGAGAATGTAATGTGAGATGTAATCATTACCTACGTTAAGCCATCGGACAGTCAGCGTGGAGGAGAGTGAAAGAAGATACAGCCTTTTCTTCAGTAGATCATGAATCATAAGCGGTGTATAAAAATAAAACAGCCGAAACAACTGCATGATGTGGTTTGAGGCAAAGAGACGTGTCAGGCTATTAATTCTCCAACAAATACCAGTTTGTCAGACTGTGCTCATATTCATGTTATTTCATCTATCTTCAGGCAAGATTTTAGACACACATATTATCGCTGAGGAGGGTATGACTATATCATCAGCAGTTCTCTGACACCAAGTCCTCCCACATATCCAGCTATATCTCTGCCTTTTATGCTGCCGAGAGTAGGATATCCCTTCCCAGCCTCTCCTTAAATGTTCTGTTTGTTTAACCTGAGTAACATCTCTTCCCTACCGTTGCAGGCACTCTGCAGTCGATATGTGGAGCATACTGATAAAAACCAATCAGTGAGAAGTGAGGGGGCTCCGTCTCATTTGGCTGAGGAAGTGCTTATAAACAGTCTGTGCACAGATGCTGTATGCCAGGTAAGTAGTGTGTTTGAAAACATGGAAAGCGTAACCGCAGCACTTCAACATCCAATTACAGAAGCCACACTTCCTTGAGAGGATAGATGCAATTTCATGTTACATATAGAGTATTGTGTATACCTGACTCTTACAAGTGTACTGAAAGCTTAGCGAAAAATAAGTAAACTGCCTTTACTTATAATAGCCTTAGTTTATATATTATTATACGTATATTACTTATAATAACAGTATATTAGATTATACAACAGTTTAGTGCCGTTCACACCAAGGATGATAACTATAGTGATAACTATAAAGTTTTAATAATTGTTGTAATTCTGTGATCACAGCTATAACAATAATGACACAGGAACGATATTGGTGGAATATCTTTCAGAACTATTGTTTTTCCACCTGATGAATAATAAAAAACATTGATAGCCAATCAGAATCCACCCGACCTTAAAGAGCTCAAGCATTTAAAGAGGCAGACAACATAACTGCAGCACACTTAAAATTATTATTGTGCATTGATGTGGATGCTAATATTGTTATCATAATTATCGTTCTTGGTGTTCACACTGAGAAGAATAACTATATAGATAACTATAGTATCCACAGTAACATCTGTTGTACTGTATGTGTGCTACAGTGTCTGCCCATTTAAATGCTCAATCTTGTTAATGTTGGGTGGATTCTGATTGGCTGTCGATGTTTTTATTGTTCATCAGCTGAAGATTAAAAAAAAAAAAAAAAAAGATTCCAATTATAGAATTCCTCCATGTTGTTATCATTCTAGAGTCTCATAGATAATTAAATGCTAAAGTTATCCCTATAGTTATTGTCCTTGGTGTGAACGGGCCTTTAGTTCTTTACCTCAAATTTGATTGGCTGAGCAGCATTCCATGAGAGCCAATAAACAGGCCAAAATTTCTAGGACTTTTACTCTTAGTAGCACTCTGCTTTTGTCCGTGTTTCAGATGGACAGATTGCTGTTCTATGCAGTAAATATTACAGATTGTTCAACAACTTTTTCAACAGTTTTCATAGATACACCAATAGGAGTGAATAATTCATTCAAATGATTTGTTTAAAATCACTGATTCATTCAGGAATGAAACAAGTGTCTTTATGAGTGCATCATTGATTCATTCACTTAATTGATTTGTTCAAAATGAAACGCAAATGCTTCAATTGTAACTATTTTAGTTTTGTATTGACAAAGTAACTGGCAATATTGTGTGCAAATGTGAGTTACTCAATATTAAAGTCTTGTTTATTGAACTGTTGAAAAAAATATTACACTTGCAATTCTTCTGGTCTGAATATCAGCACAACTCACAGCCATATCGCAGCTGTGCTTCAAAACCGCAGCACTTTTGATGGTGCGATAATCAAATATTCAATTCAGCATGCGAGACACAATGTAATTATCCTTTAGTTTTTAATGAATCTCAATTAGCAGTAGTCCCACTCTTCTCATTATAGAGAACTTTCCTCTTCATTTAATAAGCACTCCATACGCTTTAGGAAGACATGCATTTGTGACTTATCCTGTCTCCTCTAGTGAAAATCACACTCCTGTAGTCCCTCCTGAACACATCACCTGGAAAATGCAGCCATGTTTGCATAGCATCTGTTTATTTTTGGTGTTCAACTGATTAGTATTATGGAGGTATAATGGATTCCAGCGTTATTTGTGCTGTTTTGGCAGACACATTGCACCGAGCCATTCTCATGCTGAGCTTATAACTGTGTGAGCTAGGGGCCACATTCCCAGAGTGCCTAGCGCCTGTTTGTGAATTCAGAGTGCAGGGAGCCTTGCTGTTTTCATGTAATCAGTTTACCACTCACCCATCTCTTCATCGGTTTAATTCCTTGCAAATTACAGCTGTTTTAGGAAGTTAATTGTTCTGCTGTGATTCAAGGACATTTGAAAACAAGACAATAAGTGATTCATTTAAAACTTTTGAGTGAAATCTTGAAAATGGCATTTGAAACAAGGAGGTCATGGAGAAATCTTTCCATTAGCATTCCCATTCATGTGCTGTGCGAAGTACAAGGGATAAACTGTGTACTGTATGTTGCTTCCAACTTTGTCAGAATATGAAACTAATTTTAAATTAAACTCATTTTTATATCCTCATAATTCCCCCCTACTAATACTAGTTACGGTGTCCCTAACATGATAACCAGACAAACCTTAATAAAATGCTCCACTGCTCATAATGCATAGTACTAATTGTAGTAATAGTTTGTATTTATAATTGCATTTCACTATAACAAATTTGATTTATACTCGTGCTTGCTTTTTTTTTTTTTTTGCTATGCACCAAAAGCGGTGAAGATTATGTTATGATTGAAGAGTCAATTAATGCAGTCGGACTAAAAATTCAGAGGTTTGACAGTGATACAATGACACCATCTGCTTGCAGGAGTGCACTTGCGCTCTCTTATTCTCTGCCATTATGGTAACACTACACACTTGGCAAGTCGACTGAGGGATTTGTTCTGGAAACCAAAGATAATTGCAGGGCTGCAGACAACAGCATCCAACTGACAGATGCTTGTCAATGTAACTGCGCTTTCTCGAGGTCATTGCCGACATTGCTCGAGATGCGTTTCAGCCCACAGTTTATGAGCTGTCTTACTTGTGTATGATAATGTTCTTGTATTGGCAGATGTTGGTGGAAAAGCATAAAAATGCACCAGAATTAATGGTGTGAAGAATCCACACACAAAAAAAATCTCAGTTTCTTTTCTTTCCCCACCAGTGTTGAACTTCTCATTTCCATGGATCTGAATAGAGCTGATCTTGACTGAACATCACTGCAGGGCACAGATGACCACTGCGTATCAATCTTGTGTAAGTCACTGTAAAGTCACACTTGGTTTGTGACAGATGAAAAAGGACTGCATGAGAAAGCTTTTAGATACTGCAGTAAAATGAAATAAAAAACACAGGTTGATCACATCAGAAATAAAAATAAATAAATGGTGCTTACCGGCTGCTATGTATTGACGTAGAACATCTAGTCCTGTAATATAATCCTATTTTTCCCAGTCGAAAAGATACATTTATGAGAATTTGTCTAAGTTAAGACGCATGTTTTTATTGTCTTTTTCAGCAAAATGAAATCTGAACAGCATCTTATGAGATGGACCTCATCCTGGATTGGCTCATTCAGACCACGTAGAAGGTCCAAGCAGATACCTTCAAGTTATATCACATCCAGTTTGAATTCTTCAAAGACCCATAAATTCAATATGGCATTATGGTGTTAAGATCAATATAGCAACATAAGGCATGCCACATATTGTGGTATAATATGATGCTATGTTGATCCTAACATTGTTTTCAGTAGGGCTGCACGATAAATTAACTACACACAGCCGTTGTTCACAGACGAGCTGCGCAAAAAATCGCGCGAATATGAACGTGGTTTTGCGCAGCTCGTCTGTGAACAACGGCTCTGTGTAGTTAATGCTGCTCAATGTGAAAGCACGCACGTGATGGAGATTTACCGCTGATTACAGAATGGCTTTACTGACAAGATGCGCGTTAAATGTCGCATGCGATTTATCGTGCAGCCCTAGTTTTCAGGTTTAAATCCTTTCTCATGCACAATGCTATGCTGTAAGGCAGTGATCCTCAAATCTGGCTCGCGAGATCCACTTTCCTGCAGGGTTTCACTCCAACCCTAATCAAACAAACCTACCTGTGGTTTTCTAATTATCCTGAAGATATTGATAAGCAAACTCAGGTGTGTTTGATTAGGGTTAGAGCTAAACTCTGCAGGAAAGTGGATCCCGCGAGCCAGATTTGAGGATCACTGCTGTAAGGTCTCGCATTTTTTTGGTCATACATCCTCTTTTCGCTTAATCTTTTTGATCCCACAGGACAAAAAAAAAGGACATAATTGGATTAAATGGCTGTTGAAGATGGAGTATATTTTGTCTAAGTACGTCATCTACGCCATGTCACCTCAATGACGGCTAAATGAGAAGGTTTAACATGGTGCATTAAATCTTGATAGATATACAACCACTTACAGCTAAATACTTGCATAATATCTTCATGCAACACAAACTGTTTTCTTGTATTTTTGGGGTTATAGAAGCAGCTTGTTTCTGTGCTTTCTGCCACAGTGACATCTGTGAGCATATGACTCCGTTTGCTCTTCGTATGTCATTACTAGCAGTGTCGAAATGCAGCACATATTACTCATCAGAACCTGTGCTTTCAAAGCCTGAGGCTTCAAAAATTATTTACCAGTTAGACAATACATACAGTAAGTGAATTTCACACAAAGGCTCATCTTCATTGAAATGTCGTATGTAATCAAAATCCAGTGTATAAATCTACACATTCTCATTAATGCTTTGAGTTCCTCAGCTGAATGGGTTTTGAGCTTTTTCTCCTTGCAGTGGAAATCTCAAAACATCCAATCATGTTTTTTAAGTGGCATTTTAACACCGTGTAAGTGCCCTTGAAGTTATCAACACAGCTCAGACCAAATTTTAAAATTCTATTTCCTTATGACTGTACAAATGAAACAGCATCTTTCTGGAGAATGTGAAAAGCTTGTATGATTCAACGCGTATACCTCAAAGCAATCAATAGTTTTTACAGAATGGTCTATAGGTTTGTCAAATAAGAGCTTGCACACATCTCGACTAAAACAGTAAAGATAACATTTAAGCACATTTTTTTTTCTAGTCATAAGTCTTTTATATACGAAACCAGTTTACTGCCAATTTCACTCAGCAGTTGTCAGCAAATCTAGCAGTTCTCTCTGTTATCTATGTGGTACAGGGAATAAAGGAAATGCTTTTATTTTTATTTTTTTGCTTACCAGGTTCTGAGACTCAATAGTGAGAAATGTGAACTCACCCACAATAAAATTAAAATACTCTTCGTCGTAATGCTCCAGTAAGAGTACGTGTCCTATAAAAAAAGTGAATTCTCTCATGTATTGTAATGCATAGAAGTACCACTGATAAAATCATGCGCAGCAACACGGTTTTATACTGCACAATACATAATAAAGCTTTGAAACATACCTATGCATGAAGTCTTTATTTCAGTTCTAGACATGTGCTTCGATCTTTAGACTTGAGTAACTGTTCCCATCATGCAGTGTTCTCTTTCAACTCTAATCAAACACACCTGAACCCCATCAGGGTCTACAGGTTCACGTGGAATCACTGGCAGGTGCGCTGGAACAATAGACTGCAAGGCCCTGCTTTAATATTTTCAGTACTTTCACCTCTGGATCAGACTTGTATCCAAAGGTGAAGACAATAACAGTAGTTTAAAATATACTCCTCATCCAAAGTTTAATATTGGAAAATGTATGCTGGTTAGTCCTGTGTGTGTTCTTCGTGTGACAGTTTCGGCTGTCGTATATTGTTATATTTATACAGAGTGTTTTCAAAACTTACAAGTGGAGTGCACTTCAGAATAGTGACGTTATCATGCAGCGATATGGAAGAATGCTATAGCAGACAATACTTTACTATAGAAAAACGGAAAGAGACTACTGGACAAAAATACAATACTAGAATTTTTTTATTCTGTGAAAATACTGAATACTTGTGCGATTAAACCTAGGAATCTGATGCTGGATATTTGAAACATTGCATCATATAATGCATCTTCTATTAGTTAAGAACAAATTTTACAGGAACGCCAGGACAAGAGAGCGTGAAGTGTAAGCCTGTCTGACAGGACTAGCTTTCTCACACAAATGCCTGCAAACACTGTGAGCTTGAGTGTACCATCATTAAAGTGTGCAGCAGACCCTGGTGTGACTTTCTCTGACGTTAATAAATGGTGTGCAGTGCAGTGCCAAGCACAAGCATGTCCCTTCATTAGGCAGCTAGGCCCACCGCTGACATAAGGGCCAGATGTCACAGGGGTTCTTTCCTGCACAAATCTGTCCCCAGCAGCAGAGACGAGGACAAAATATAAAGCCCCTGTCTTACGCCGCATCTGAGGGCCGTCTCTGTGACAGTGAATAAGCGTGTCTGATGTCTGGCATCTGGCAAGTTGGAGCTAACGCATGGAAAAGGCTGCAGTGGAGCTTTGAGAGGTGCTCTGTCAACTGCAATGTTCAGGGATTTTCATCATGTCTGTATTATTACCGCGAGGAGGGAAATCTGTGTCTGAGCATCTGTGCATTGCGGCCACTGTTCATGAGTTTTCAAGTGTACAATATCACCCCTATCACTATTATTTCACTTCTCTTTTGTGTGAATAATGTCTCAAAAAAAAAATCTAAGGGAACATCACAATGCAAAGCTCCCTACCTAATCTAGACCGCTTAAAAAAAACTAAACACAAAAAGGGAGTTTTAAGAAATCATTATGCCTTTGATACAGAAACCATTAGGACATTACCATATGATCATCCACATTTATATATTACACAGGTATGTGGATGGCCATAATTTAAATAAATAAAACTGAGCATTTAAATCTGAGAATTATATACAGCATATATATATATACATATATATATATATATATATATAGAAAGAAATATATGCTGTATAAAATTCTCAGTTGTACTTAAGAGTATAGTATAATTCTGTATATATATATATATATATATATATACACTGAAACATATACGCTGTATATAATTCTCAGTTGTGCTTTGAGTTGTTTATATATATATATATATATATTTGTTCCATAAGTGTATAGTCCCTTTAAATGCCCAAATAGTCATGGACTAACTCCTTTTTGCTGTCATTATGCTCTTGCGTGAACTGCTTCATTGATAGTTACAGTACAACATGATGGGTCACCCTGAACCCATTACGACTGCCTCGCAAAAATACACAGTAAATACATTTATTTTGTTTTGCCATACAATTTTGTTTTGATTAAAGTGGAAAAATAATGGGATAAATTTAATCAGCTCTCAAAATATTGATCTGAAAATTTAACTTTTAGAGTGTACACCAAAAGAGAGAGTGTGTGGAAGCTTTCAATGAGATAAAACAGTGCACTAGCTCAAGCAGCGCACTTCCTCATGGATGGAGACAGCTTTAACAGTCAGTGTTATTTGATGAGCTGTAGTCTTATCTCAAAACAGTTTAAAATTGGAATTTCAATGATGAAACAGTTAATCAGAATTCATCAAAATTTTTGTCTGGCAGGAAGCCAGGCCTGATGTGAGGATGGGCTGACAGCTCAACTAGGTTCTTTGCTACACACATTCTGACAGTATCGAATTCAAATCTGTCTTTCCAGGATTTGTACTGTTTGCTACAAGCACAAATGTCAGCGATTTGTTGAGCTCAGAGTGTAAACTGGAATGTTCCAGACTGCAGTGTCCTATAAGCAGCATTTCACATAACACAGGACCATTTCAAATCAACTAGTGAAGGCAAAAAATAAAACTAATTAAATGGTGACCCAACGACTCATTTCTACAATTCTGTCAATACATTTTTTCAGGTCTTCATCAAATCTTAATATATTGTTTGAAATATTAATATCTTTAAACAATCTTTAAAGATAGAAATCATATTATGAAAGTTTACTTTCATTACAATTCACAGTATAAATTAAAAAAAGGCAATTAAACCTAATTTTGTTTGTTTGGTTGGTTTGGGGTTTTT